TGGGTGGAAGGGGCGCCAAGAGGCGGGCCGTCCGCAGCCAGCGGGGCAGGCGGAGACAGCGCCACGTGCGCGGATGGCGAGTCCCTTCTGAGCGCGGATTTGAGGGGCCGGCGCCCAGGTGCTGGTCTCGGCGAGCCCGCGCCCTCGGGGACACCGGGCCCGCGGCAGTGCCCCTGCGGCCGCCGACCGCCTGGTCCCACAGCCCGCGTCGACCGCGCTCGGACCGCAGTCGAGCGCGCAGGCGTTCTGCCCTAGAGTCACACCGTCCCAGAGCTGCCCTTTGCGCTCGGGCCCACCCGTGCCCTACCTCCCCCCTCAAAAGAACAAAAACACGCCCACGCCCAGACCCACTTGGAGAGGTGCCACAGCATCGCGCGGCGCGACATCTCGCGGAACCGGCAGCGCGCCGCCTCGTCGTTGCGGCAGTAGCACAGCCGCAGCACGGCGCGCCGCGCCCAGGGGCGGTACGGGTCGTCCACCAGCGACTGGGCGCGAGAGTGGGGGTGACGGCGCGGCGGGCGCGGGGGGAGGGAGGACCTTGGTGCAGGGGCGGGACGTATGAGGATGAAGGTAATGCAGGAAGGCAGGGGGCGATGACGATATTTCAGCGCGCACAACCCCCAAGCGCCCCGAAAATGCGCCGTGCCGGGCCGTTTCGGTCCGATGAGTCGCGTGCGAGACCCGACGAGCTGACGCCCGCGGCGTCGCCGCGACGGGAGGGGCGTGCCTTGGCAGGCACCCAGGTTTGATAGGGGCTGCGAACGAGCATGAGGAAGGAGGCCCCAGGGCAGAACCTTGCAGGGGCGCAGGGCTGCGGGCAGAAGAGTGGCCCACCCGAAACTCTGGTAGCTCCGCCCTCCATCTCGAGGCTGGGGGGATGGCTGCATCCCCTAGGTCAACGGCAGCAGCAGCAGCCGCAGCAGGTCCCTCGTTTACACACCGGCCCCAGGCGCCACCCGCGTCGCTGCTGCCGAGGGCGCCAGCGCTGGCGCTGTCCCCGTCCTCGTCGGAGCCGCCGCCGCCGCCGCTGTCAGAAGCGCCGCCTGCCCAGGCGTCCGGCCCTTGGCCTAGCCGCGCCGCGGCTGCCGCTGCCGCAGCAGCATCTGCGGCGCCCGCCGCCGCCCCCTCCGTTTGAGGGTCGCGGCTTGCCCCTGGCGTGCCTCCGCCTAAGCCTCTGTCGGCGGCGCGGCGCCGCCGCTGCAAGGGCTGCACTGGTGGCAGGAGGTCCCAGGAGTCTGCATCGGGGCCAAAGGCAGCTTGAAAGTCCCAGCTGCCGGGCAGCTGCTCCACGCCCAAGCGGGGCTGCACTTCGACACCCCTGCGGTCGCTGGCGGCTCGTTCCTGCTGCAGCTGCCAAGGCTCGCGAGGACTGGCTGCATCGCTGGGGGGCCCACGAGGCTGCCTGTGCAGCCGAATCCGTCCCGAAGCCGGCCTTGCGTGCGGAGGCGCGGCGCCAGCATAGCTGCTGCCGCCGTCGCCACCGTCGCTAGCCGAAGCACGGGGCCTCGTGCGCGAGCAGCGCGAGCGAATGCGCTTAAAATTGATCTGCGCGTCGACACTTTTTTTCAAGAACCGTTCAGCGTTCATGATGGCATGTGTGAAGCAGCGGCCTGATCTTGCCAATAATTAAAGGAGGCGTGGCAGTCATATATGTCATAAGTTTGGTGTATCATCAGGTGAACGACTCTTGTTGAACGGCGAGCCGTGTGCCACAAGGCGGCGTGTTGGCAACCTGCTCGCGAGCCGCTTGAAATGCACCCCGGTGGATGAAGCCTGCACGCCCTGTCTAGAAGCAAGAGGTCAAGCCGTGGTCATGGATCCCCTGCCATTTAATTGCCTCTGTCAATTGTTTGCTGACGCTGCTCCACATAACCTTGCACTGGCTGTTGTCTGCCCTTTTCTGTGAGTCAACACCAGCTCGTTCAGCTGAGCACATGGCTCTGCCTTGGAGGACAGGCGCGCCACAATCCCAGCCCACGCCCATCAAGCGCGCTTGTCCAATGCTGTCCCTCCACTGTACAAACCGTTGAAGTTGGTGACACTCGCCCCATCCAAACGGCAAATAAAATCGCTTTGTGCCAAGCTGTTACAAGCCGCCGCATCTTTGCAAGGCCACACTGTCAGCCCTGCACAGCCCGCACACACTGTGGACCGCCAACTCCATTGGCTGCCACCCTTCGCTTGCTGACGGCTGCGCATACCTCGGAGCGCTGTCCGGCGCCCACAGAGTGTGCGCTTGCAACCGCGCTGCCGCTGCGATGCTGCCGCCGCCCTTGGCCACGCCTTCGTCCATCAAGAGCCCTGCACCATGCTTCGCCAGGCGCAGGGCCCAAGCCGCCGCCGCTGCTGCACCACCCGAGCTGGGTTCCTGTTGGCGTAGGCATGAGGGGTGGCCAGAGCCGAGGTCAGGACAGGGCATGCGCGTGCCCAACATGGGTGTGGCCAGACGCTGCGGCCTGGCATGCATGCTTGGTGCAACTGGTGCCTGCCTGACAGCCTACGCTGCCTGCCAGGGGCCTGAAAGGCTGCCGCTCTGCTTGCAGGATGTCATCCCCTTGGTAACCGGGCCGTCAGGGATCCGGCCCGGCTATTAGCGGGGGCGCTGATCTGGCATCCGCATAGTCACATCCCGCCGTCTGGAAACTGGGCGGCCGTGTTTGATAGGATGCGTGCCCATGACCACCATCTGGTGCAACCACCATGTGGCTCTGCGCCTGAAGCTCTCAAGGGCGGAAGCAATCTATGGCCGAAGCGACTCAGCGCGCTGCAGGCGCGCAGGCCTGCCGACAGCTGACAACGCAGTGCGCGCTGCCATGACTGGTTTTCAGCCCTTGGATGGCTGTGTAAAAGTGCCAGATGACAGCTGGCTGCTGGCTGTTCCAACTGCCAGCACAGAATCCAACTGCACCGCCACGTCGCTGGCCCAGCGCGTCGCAGCAACTGGACAGGCCGCTGCCAAGGGACAAAAGCCCCTGCTGGGCAGGCCACTTGCTGGCGCGCCAAGCTGGTATGACGCACTTCGACCACCATGCAATAGGCAATTGTAGGTGCACCTGTTGTTGTTGCTGTTGCTCCACCTGCGGGTGCTCCTGCTGCTGCTGCTGCTGCTGCTGCTGCTGCTGAGGTTGCTGCTTCTGCTGCTCCTGCTGCACCTGACACGGTTACGTCTGCCCCTCGGCCACAGATCAAGGCCCAAGACTGGCTGGCCTGCTGGCAGGTGTGCTGCTGCGCCAGGTCCAGCGCAGGCAGAATCGATTGTGAAGCCCAGGCCAACAGTCCCCCGATATCGTTGCGCACCTGCTCGCCACGCGCCAGAGGTGCTGGTTGCTGGAACCTCTCTAGTAGAAGAAGCCCAGAACTACCAAAACAGGGAGGGAAGGATACCGTGAGGGCGAGCAGCATGACGATGACGGGTGCCATCGTAACGCCGCGCACAAACCGATCACCCTGCAGCCGCTGCACCAGCAGACTCGGCTGTCTTTCCGGCCCCTGGCGCGCAGCTGCCTGGCCGCTGGCGCATTCATTTGCTGCGCGTGCAAACAAAGGAAGCCACTGAAAGGTGCCTCAGCAGCGCGGCCAGCCGCAGCAGCCGCCGCATCCCTGGAGGCAGCGCGACGGGGTCCGACCCCACCCGTCTCCACCCTCACCCTTGCCACCGACGCCCTTGGAACGGGCAGTCTCGTGGTCCAGAATGCCCGCGGAGGTGGTGAGCACGATGACGCCGAAAAGACGCGAGGGCAGCAGGCGCGCCACCCAGTCCTCGGTCTCAGTGTGGCTGATGTCGTAGCGCGGGGAGATAACACCGCACTTGTTGAGCCTGCCGTTGAGCTCCACCACTATCTTGCCCGCGCGGTGGTCGTCCACGAACTCGAACTCGCTGATGTAGCCGTGCTTCTGCATGAGCTGCAGGAACTTGATGACCACCTTGCTGGCAGGGCGGATCAGCACCTGCCTCTTGCCGCGCTTCTCGGCGTTGTACATGGTCTTGAGGGCGTCCCCCAGCACTGAGATGCGCACCATGGCTGCTGGAGCCTCCTGGCGGCTATGCACTTCGAGGCTGAAAGGCTATGCCCCTTGGCTCGCCGTAGAAAGAGGCAGGAGTGAACGCAGGGGCCTGGGAAAGGCTGCGCTTTGCGGGCAGCGCAAGGGACGAGGGACCCTTCGGCCTTCTTTTGCTTGAACAAGGCTCGCCATACATCTGACGTTGTCACTGTTATAATTTTACAGGCACATATGCGGTGGGAAGCACCCGTGCTTGAAGGGATAGTGATCTGGTATAGTGTCCCGCTTTGCTTTTGAGCCTGTGGTTCGCTGCTTATGTCGCAGAAATCTACAACTTTTGATAGCTGAGGTGTGGAGGGTGCCATGACTGCAGCCGCGCGCTTGCGCTGGCGCTGTGCTCGAGGGTGCTGCGCCGTGGTGCGTGTGCGGTGAGAGCAGCAGCAACATGCGGTATGCTCATTGGAATTTCTTATCCCAGACAAGCTCGCTTAGCGCCGACCACTTGTCAATAGATCAGGGCATGTGATGTCTTTGCGAGCAGTGGATACAGGAGCAGAGTGGCTGCCTGCGTCATGCCTGCATCCATCGGCTGCGCCATTGCACGTGGTTGCGACTGGTTGCTGCCCCAGGCCGTAAAAAGCCCACATCGACGCATTTACAGCATCGTAGGCCTGGGCAGCCAGCTGCGCAGCACTCTCAGCGCAATTGTGGCAGGACATTAATGCAAATGTGTACGGGCTGTGTGCCGACGCACAGCCGCCTACCGTTTTGCGCGGTCTCTTGTGTTTGTAGGGTAGCTGGGAAAACCAACGGACACAGGAACAAACATAGATCAAACGGGCCAAGAGGCCTACACAATGCCGCAACTTATCTGCTGCACCTCTAAGCGCAGATCTACTGCTCCAACCAGATCTGCACCAGATCACCTGTCCCTGTCTCGTAGTTGACCAGCGGTTCCGAAAGGTCCAGCTTCCCGCCGACTGCCGCCCTCAGCATCTCATCCAGGTTGACGCCCGCGATCTGGCGGACCGTGCGGTTGATTGGAGTGGCGGCGGTGAATTGCAGGCGGCCGACCGTATGCATACCGCACGCTGCAGGCTGTCGCATTCAGGGCCGGGGAGCGACGCCGGCATCGTGGCCAGGTGTTGCGGACGGCAAAAATTGGGGACTCAAGCCGGGTCGCTGTTGGGGCTGCTTACGGCGGCGGCGGCAACACGCGGCGCGCTGAATGTTGGCAGGCGAAGCCCCAACCCTGGCAGGACCCTGGTCAAAGCCCAGTCAAACGCCCTACCTGGGGCACCATGGTCGCCAGGGAGCCGATGAAGTTGGCGGGTATGCGGGTCTCCAGCTTTGACAGCTTGGTCTTGGCATCACAGATGCGCACCCTGGTGCGAGTGAGTTCAGGGGTGTGTGTGGGGTTGAGGGGGGTGCTGTGTTGCTGTGTTCATGTGCGTGCGTGTGTGAATGTGTCTGTGTGTACATGTCACATACACGGCGTATGTGACATTTGCAGAGAGTGTGTGGGGCCATGTTCAATTGACGAGACGCCAGTGGCAAGCGGAAGGTCAGGCAGGGTTTTCGATTGCCACAGTTTCCACACGCAACATGCTGGCATCTGTGTCTTACCGCAAGCGCTGACTGGTTCTGTGCTTCGCACGCGTGCCGTCGAGGCGGACCACGCTCACACCCAACATGAATGTGAGAGCACGCGTGCAGTGATGCATGCACATACACACGCGCACACACACACATGCACACGCCCTTGGGCGCACACGTGCGAGTACAAGCGCCGCACACCTGAAGAAGCGGCTCCTTTTCAGCGCCGCCCAGTCGCCGTCATCAGCGGTGCTGAAGGGCTTGTCCGAAACCAGGCTGCTGCCAGTGCTGCCGCCCCCCTGAGAGCGCTGCGTGCTGGATGGCTCCAAGACCACCCCCTCAACCACCTCGGGGGCTGCGAAGGATGTCGTGTGGGTGTGGGTATGCGTGTGTGCGCGTGTGTGTGTGTTTGTGTGAGTGTGTGTGCATGTGGAGGGCGGATGGCGCACGATTCTGAGTGCGTGTGTGCATGTGTAGATGCGCACACGAGCATGCATTTTCGCACATGCAAGGATGCTATTGCCTGCAAAAGCAAACTACAATTATTCATCATTCGTCACCTGCTGCGGTGGCGCCGGTGCCTGCTGAACCGGACTGAGCAAACGATGACGCCCCATACCCGCCCGCTGGCGGCGCCTGCGGCTGCGGCTGCGCCGCCCCGGCGGCCGTGCCCGGGGCGTCAAAGGCAGCCGCCGTTGGCGGCGGCGGCGGCGGCGACGCGCCGGGCGTGGCATTCGATATGGCGTAGCGCCGCTCCTCATCAAAGTATTGCTGCAAGGGGTTTGCAGTTGGTGAGGGGGTGCCAAGGGGCTCATGTGGGGTGCACGATCGACGTGCAGCGTCATGGCGCTATTGCCTTGACGTGCGCCAAAAGCAACTTGATGGCATGGATGGGCCTCATTGGCGTGCAGCAGATTGCCATGGAGAAGTGGGTAGGGATCACAGTGTGAGCCCCACCCCACCTGGAGAGCTAGGGCGGTCCACTCGCTGCTGGCAAAGCATGATGTGACGTCAAATGATGTCACGCGCTCACCGGGAAGCCGACCGCCATCTGGATGTCCACGAAAGTGCCCATCTCGCGCGGCCCGGGGATGCGGCCGCCCTTGAGGCCGCGCAGGGCGTCCTGCATCGCGCGGATCGACACGCCCAGCCTGCAGGGGCGGGGGTGCGGGTTCCGGGTCAGGGGATGCCCGGCCGGGCGGGGGCTGCCACCGGCGGCGGCTCCTGCGGAGAGGGGCCATGCGAAGCCGCGACGGCGGCGCTGCCTCTGCGCCACAAGCTCCCCTTGCTTTGCGAAGCGGCCCACCGCACAGGCCCCGCAGCTGGGAGGGGCGGTGATTGACAGCATAGTGAGTGATTGAGTGCCAGCATGGCGTGACGCAGGTTTGCAAATGCATTATTGTGCCTCACAAGGAAAGGGGGTAGGCCACGAGGGCAAAACCCATGGCCTGCAGCTCCTCTGGCGCCATGATGGGGGTCTTGCCGCCCCCCTCCAACATGTTGGCCATCTGAGGAGTGGGTCACGGGGAGTGCACCGTGGGATTGAAGGGCACAGGCTCAGGCAGCGGTGGGAGTGGGGCGGGGTGGGGAGAGGAGGGCGATGGACGCGTATCGGGAGGCTGTGCTTGGGAAAAGGCGCAGTGACGGCGGCACGACTCGCGGCCGCATCTCCTCAAAACGGACTTCAAGGCCTGCGCAGCTGCAGTTTATGAGCACACAGCACAAAACACAAAAAAGAGACGACGCCCCTGTCGAGCCCAGTGCACCCATGGCCCCGCCAGTGGGCCCCACAGCCCCTCCACGCACCTTGGGCACGCCCGCGGCCGCGCCCCCGAGCCCGCAGAACGCGCGCATCTCGTCGGCACTGGCCAGCGCGTCGATAAACAGCACGTCAGCGCCCGCCTCCGCGAACGCCTGGGCGCGCCAGAGCGCCTCCCCGAGGCTCTCGGCCTGGCGGGCGTCGGTGCGGGCGACAATGAGGATGTCGGCGCCCTCGTTCCTGGAGGGCGTTGGGGTGCATTGTTTGGTTTATGGTGAAATTAGGGATACGAAGGAGGATTTTGGGGCAGGCGGTGTCCTGGGCTAGAATGGAAGCACCTTCGTTGAGGGTGGTCGTGGTCATAATACCGTAAGGAGGAAGCAATGGGTCGGCGCAAGGGGAAGGCAGCGCTGAGGTCAGCTGGCGTGGCTGGGCGCGCGTCAGGCTTCCAGCGGCCGCTTGGTCATCACGCCCGCAAGTGGGTTGGCATGTAGTCCCGCGGGTTGGCATACAGTCCCGCGGGACTGAATAAGCAAAAGCACAGGCCTGGCGCGCGTCGACGCATGACGCGTGTGCATGATCCCGTCTGCCCGCGTCGCAGGCCAGGAGCGTGCGACGCGCCCCCCTCTTCCGCCCCCCCGCGCGCCTGGCGTCGACGGCGGCGCGGATGCGCGAGACGGCCTCCTCCCGTGACACGACGCGCTTGTTGCGCACGTGGCCGCAGCTCTTCGGTGACACCTGGTCCTCAATGAGGATGCCTTGAGTTTGTTTTGAGAGGAGGAGCACGGCACGTCAGCTGAGGGGGGGAGGGAAGTGCGCTCTC